GTTCTTGTTCTTGAGTATTGCTTGAAGTCTAGAAACCCATTGAGTAGGATGTTTAACCCTTTGGATCTAAGATTTGCCTTTTCTTTTGGATTGGTGCCAAGAGGATTATTAAGATGAAACTGGTTATTGAAGCTCGTCCCACATCAATAGGTCTTGTAAGAAAATAAAAGTTAGCATAGTGAAAATAATAAAAAAAAAAGAAAAGAGGGAGAGGAAGGAATGGCTATCAGAAAGAAACAAAGAAGATAAAGTTGTCTTGGAAGGGAGGATGCCAATTATGGGGGATGGAACATATTTGAAGATAAAAAAATTCAGAATAGTGTAATAACAAATAAATAAATAGGTATGAGTAAATCAAAATAGGAAAGTGGAAATAAAATAATATATAATAATAGAGATATAAATAGGAAGAAAAATGAAGCAAAGCAAAAAAATACTAATACCATAAAATAAAAAAAAACTAAATAGAATAATGATAAAAAAATCATACATACCAAAATAATGAACAAAGAGAGAAGAGTATTTGCTTGGCATTTGTGCTTGCTTGGTGCTTACTTGTTTATGCTATTTGTTATTATTATTTATTTTGTGATTATGCTTGTTTGGAACCCCATGTGGGCCCCACCTATTAGACCCGGGAGAGGAGTGCATAACCCCTACCTTTCCAGCTCCATCCACTTGAACACTTCTAGGAAGATGATGTCCGCTGAGTAGTCGGAGTTAACCAGAATTTGCTTCACCTCGAAGTCATTTATCACTAACTTGACCATGAGGGCATCGTCGTGCAAATATTGGACCCCACGAGCATCATCCTCGATGAAGTAGATCACTTTCTCTGCTCAATGGTAGTTCGGAAGGTTCTCGTCCTCATACACAACCTCCCAAATTGAATTCTTCTCAGATAACATGTTGTAGCCTACTACGATGGACCCGCCCGTGATCATGTTCATTACACCACGGAGGGGCCACTTTTTTGGTGGTGGGTCTCCTAGGGGTTGTTCTATGCTCTTCTCCCTACTCGACTGTAGCACTTCTCTTTGTTGGTCAACAGGTCGGTCTCGGTCTTTAGCTCCTAGATTTCATCCTTGAGCTTGTGGTAGTTCTCAGTGCCATGTCCGATATCCTGGTGGAAGTGACAATACTTGTGGTAATCTGCATGAGGATCTACCCTCTATTCATGTTCAGCGCGATGTAGTTCCAATTCTGAACGGTAGGGGTGCGAGAGTGTCGACTTGAAGATTTGTTGCTTCTGTATGGGGACCTACTTCTTCTGTGAGGCGACCTGCTTCACTGGTTGCGCGGGGGGGGAGACCTGCTATGCCGTGGCAACCTGCTCTTCCTTTGCTTGTTGCTCCCTAGCTTGTCCTCTAATCTTTTTCACTTTCTATTCAACTCTAATCGAGACCTTAGCGCTTTTTTGGCCTTGGTGAACTTAGCGGTCTGGTTGAGGAACTCCTTCATAGAGGCTGAAGGGTTCAACTCGACCTCCCAACGCATGTCCGGGTGCCGTTTACTGTTGCGATGAGTTGGACGGCTGGGTCAAGGTTAGGGATCTAAAACTGCTTTAGGTTAAACCGCTTGATGTTGTCCTAGAGCTTCTTATCAGGTTGCTGGATGACGTTGAGGAGTCAGGTTGCTGACTTGGAACACCGTTTGCTCGTCATGAAGTGCGTGGTGAAGAGGTCAACGAATTGACTCCAACTCTTGATCGAGCCGATGGCCAATCCAGAATACCATATCCGAGTTGTACCCCAGAAAGTGGTCAGAAAGGCCATGCACAAGCTCATGACATTGACCTTGTGTAGTTGCATCAAGGCTTGGAAACTATTGAGGTGGTTGAGGCCCTAAAATCCTTAGGTCGTGGGACCATGAGGATCTCAATGGTTAGTGGTGAGGTGTGAGTCACCAATTGTGCCAACGAGGTGGCGATCTGGCTTGCCTCCTTTTTTCTTCCTTCTTTGCCCCTTGTTATCATTCGGGGCGAGGCAGCTCCTTCCTATGTTGCGGTGTGTATGTCTGCAACGCCTTCTCCTAGACCCTTTAGTGGAGTTGGTAGCCTAAATGTCACAACTCAAGTCGATTCCATGGCGAGAACTTGGCTTCGATTGTCTTGACAGTGAAGTGGTTTCGGGACCTGTTTTGGTTTTAGTCGCCAAGCTGCTGATTCTGGTTCACATTCTGACCGATGACCTGGTGTTGCTGGTGCTATTGTTGCTATTGCTGATGTTGCTGTTGTTGCATCCTAGCCATTGCATCGAAGTGATCCTCCCATGTTCTTATTTGGAGGTCTATCCCATAGATGAACTGCACCAACTCGTGAAACTGATGACCATTAATCCTAAGGGGAACCATGGAGCAAGGTTTTAAAAACCGACCCGAAAACGGAACCGTTTTGGGCACCATTTTCTAGCTCGATGGTTCAACCGTTCGGGTCAAACCGTTCAACTCGTGACGTCATAAATAAATAGAAAAACAAAAAATATTTATATATAATGAAAAATACCAAAGAAAATTAAATAAAATACAGAAAAATTAACAAAAATACAAAAAAAAATTAGAAAATTATAAAGCCATGTGACTTCTTTTATATAAAACAAATAAAAGAAGTTATAATGACAAGAATACCCCTGCCACCAATATGAAAGAAAAAAACTCGACACAGATATCTAATGATAGAAAAATAACATTAATAATAGATAAACAAAAGTGCTTTCACCTCCAATTTAGCTAGAGAGTAAGCCAAGGGATTAACAACCCTCAAAATACATTTATAAGAGCAAAATTATTTGTTGAGATCTCTTGGATCTCATTTAGGAAGTGGGATTAACAATAATTCAAGTTCTAGGGATTAACAACCCTCATCTCCTCAAGCTTACAAAATCATAATAGGAAAAAAAAAGAGTATGGGCAAGTAAGTGAACTTTCTTGGATAAGTGTGGATAAGTGCTATTACCCAGATAGGTGACCTTTTGAAAGAGAGAATGAGGGTTGTTACCTAGAAGGTGACCTTTTGAAAAACAAACAAGGCCTAAGGCCGATGCTATCATAGCTTATCATTTCCACTAGAAGGATATTCTCCTCTACTTCTTTGTATTCAGTTGCACCACAAGTTTTCTTGGCCCCATCAGCTCCAACCTATAAAAAAGATCCCAACCCACACATTAAGATGCAAGTACTTTATGCACACAAGGAGACTCCATTAATGAAATATGGACTTCCAAGAGATAGTTCATTAAGGCCTGCTAATGGTTATACCTCTTAAAGCTGCCAACAACTCCATTTATGACCGAGTCTCTAGAATTCTAGGCCACAAACCACAGTTATACCTCTTGAAGCTTCACAATGACATATTAATTAATTTAACTGATCAAAAACTTAGTTTTCAAAGCATTGGAAGTCCATTAAGCAATTTTTAAAATTTTTAGGTTGCTTGGACAACTATATAGCAGAAAATAAGATGTGACATATTAATTAATCACTTTCCTAATTCCTACCAAAAATAAATGGAGAAAAAAAGCGTAGGTATTCCTTCTTGACTAAAGAGTTTATTCCATCTATATACAATGGTTGCTTAATTAACAACTTAACATGGCCACCTCACTCAACTAAATTGGGCAATTAGAATGCTTACACAAAATTTACAGTAGGTATACCTTCTTTATTCCTCTCTAGGGATCCACTTGCTCCACCATAGGTTGTTTCTACGTCGGTTGAGTTTATCAATGCTCTCATTTAGTGTTCTTATAATCTTCCTCTGGAATCTAAGCGTAGATGCAAGAGCATTCGGTTGAGCACTTGCCTAGTTGCCATATTCTTTGGTCCCATTTCCTGGATGAAAATAAAACATAAAAGTAAACAGTAATCCTCTCAAAAATTCTTTTGATTGGTATTAATTTAAATTATTGTTCACAGACAGACCCTGAGCTTCTGTCAATCCACCATCCTTCTTCGTCCCAGATTTTGCCATAAGTTTGATTACCCACTTGGCTGCTTCATTATAATCCTGTTGAGTAGCACGAAACAGCGGCAGCCACAAGTTCTACCTGAAAGAAAGAGCCAATAACTCGCATGCTCTCCTGAGTTTTGGGCTGGCACGATGCTCTACAGTTTTCCTCCATTCAACCAAGTCGTATCCACATCTTTTCACCGGCGGTTGAATTGTATAAGGCTATTGTCTGTGCGTAATGACGGGAATGCCTAGAATAAGAACCATATATGTTGAGCCAAAAATAAACAATATGAAATCCCATAATGACTTAAGATTGCAATAGTAAAAACAAATAATCATTGAACTGATGTGGCATGTGAGAACTGAGAACATAACTAGGAAATGTGATACTATAGTCTATTTTTCCTTTTTTTTTCCAATCAATAAATATAATATAATTGTTTTCTTTGTTACTTGCAGTGAGGATTAAAGACTTAAGTCTTCCAACAACAAAATGAATAGGCACAGGTAACCAATTAGCCAAATCAATCTCAATCAGCATGATAGTAAAGAATGTAGAAAGGGATAAGTACCTGTAAACATGACAGTAAAGAACCATGAAGAACCTTATTCTTTACCATGCACTTGAATCAAAAACCCAAACCAAATGGTGTTTGACTAATAGTTTCATGATAACAACAAAATTTGCATTCCTATGAGTTAATGGTGCTTACCCTAGTATTTCTTTGTCAACATCTCTTGCATTGTACCTTGTATAACCTAAGCCAATGTAGTCTCAAACCTACAACTGACTTGTTAGAGATGACCAAATAGGTAGTACAATATCATAAAAGTGTAAGAGTGCAAGAGTGCCAAATTAAACTACCATAAAACAAGATGCAATGACATGAAATTAAATAACCTTTCCAACTTCCAAGTCTCTATAACCCATGAGTTGCAACTAAATAGTAAATATAAAAACATAAGATCCACAAATTAAAATGTACAAAGTCTCAAAGACTAGTCGCTGAATTAACACATAACAAGTTCAAATTTCAAATCCATAAACTCTTCATCGACAGAGCCAACTAAAACCAGGAGGTGCATCATCATCATCTCCAGGTTGTGTTTCATCTTCATCTGCATCTAGATGATCATGTTCTGGATTTTCCTCGAACATCTCATTGAAAAAATTATAGTCATCTAAAAAAATAAATAGAAAAAATTAGAATTCTACACAAATTAATCATAAGGCTCAAGATGCAAGACTAAATTATTAAACAAAGAATATGAGATGATATTAACTAAGTTACCTTCATCCCTAAATCGCTTGTTTGCTTGAGGTTCCAATATTGGATTTATTGTACCATCACCATAAAACATATCATCATTTTTAGTATTGTCAAGTAATGGAGGATTCTTATCCTCATCTATCGCCCAATCTTCTAGAATATCAATATGGCAATCTTCAATTGGGTCAAACTTTTGAATTTGTCTCCTACAAGTTATTATCACAAATGATAAAGTAAAATGGAATGACATAAGAAATTTGGAATATATTAGACACTAAAAAATAATAAATAATATGCATTATGAAAACATAAAATGCATATCCATCCATCAAATGCAGGTTACAGTGAACGTATACAAGATTATTGAGCCTTTGATGCTCCAACCTATTCCTTCTCTTTGTGTGAATGCGCTCAAAAACACTCCAGTTACGTTCACAACCAGATGAACTACAAGTCTGGCTAAGAATCCGTACAACAACTCTTGCAAGAATTGGGGTACCACAACCAAACCTCATCCCCCATTCACCTATAAATTAGATAGATAATAGAACCAAATAAATAAAATGAAATAAGAGATTATATAATAAAAATGAAATAACAAACATGTCATAAGAAAGAAAACTATTACCTGGAGCCATTCTCTTAACCGCTCTCAAAGCCATATCCCTCCCAAAATCACTAAGACAAGATTCAAAAAGAGAGAGCTCTTTGTTGATCTGTATTTGCACAATTTCATTTCCTATGAGCCTCTCAATGACGTCAAGAATAGCTGACATAACGGTTGGGGTTTTAACTTTTGAATTTATATCATATTGAAAGGCTGGATTAAGATAATAACCTACTAGATGAAGCTTTTGACCCATTTGTTTGTCCCATATTTTTTCAACAATTTGCAAAATTGGGCCATATTCAGATCCCCTATTATGGAATTGTTTTTTCATTGCATCATTTGCCTTCAACATGATATGGTACATATGCCCCATTGTAAGCCTCCTGTTTGAATCAACAATTCTCAATGCACTAACAAGTGGTGACGTAAAACCCACAATTGTTTTGCATAATTTCCAAAAAACATGATCCAATACAATCTTTACCACTTATTTCCCCTCTGCATCTCTTGCATATCTAGATTCACTGAAATTCCTATCAGTCACCAAATATTGCAGATCATGCATGTGCTTCAAAATATTCTCTAATGCAAGGAAACTAGTTGCAAAGCGGGTGGCTCCAAGGCGCACCATCTCTGTCCAACCAGGTCTCTTTCTTAACATCGATAATACAAAAGTGTTATTGTATACAAACTTTGTTATTTTAGAAGCACGTCTAATCACATCTTCAATATAATCAATCTCTGCAATTTCCTTTAACATCAAGTTCAAGCAATGTGTTGCACAAGGTAACCAAAAAATCCGTGGATATTTTTCCTCCAATAATCTTCCTGCAGCTACAAAATTTGTTGCATTATCTATGACAACTTGAACAATATTTTCAACATTAACCCAATCTAAAACTTCCTTGAACAAGCGAAACAAGTTATCTGCACTCTTAACCATGTTAGAGGCATCCACAGACTTAATAAATGTAATTCTTCCAGGGCAGTATGCCAAAAAGTTTATCAAAGTCCGATTATGTGTATCTATCCATCCATCAGCCATTATGACAACCAAAAGATCCCCACTCCCTACGAAATTTATCAATGGACAATTGAACCTCATTGACCAAATCTCTTAGCAAATTAGTCCTACAACTATAATATGAATGAGCTGTATAACCTGGACCAACACTAGCAATTACATCTAACATGGGTTAAAAATATTTTGAGTTAATGGCATTCAAAGGAATGCAAGCATCGCACATCCATCTCATAACAACACGATCTACAAGTTTAATTGTTGCCTTAGATGCTAATGTACTCTTAATGGATGGATGTGCTCCGGGAATAGTTCATGGAGCAAAATGGCTAGTTATTAGCTTTGCAAGTGATTTCCCCTTTCCTAAGGGTTTATTTGACTTTTTCCCTTGATTGCTCATCAAATTATCTTCATTTGTACCAGATGGATGCACTTCCCTAACATCAACATCATCACTTGTTTCAGTACCATCCAATTCAAACTCAGAGATAGAAGCTTTTTTCTTTTCAATAATTCCATCTAACAACTGTTCCATTTTAAATCTGACATCATATGGTACTTTACAACAAACAACAATTTCTCATTTTCTTTGGGCAAGATGTTGTTTCATCCTATTAATGCCCCCCCCCCCCCCTTTAAAAGCTTTTTGACAATACATGCATGTCATTGACTTTCCTCCACTAATAGGATTTACTTTAAGGGTGACATATTCCCATGTAGGATCAATTTTGGCCCTAACATTTGAGGAGGTAGACTCTGATGCTGGTTGTGGATGAGACTGGTCATTATTTGTGCTTGATTCCATCTCTATTCAATAAAAGAATCACAAACACCCATCAACCAAAAATTAAACCAAACAACCAATTAAGTGAAACATATGAATATATGATCACACAATTCAACTAAACAACCAAAAATAAAATTGAAAAATAGTTAAACAACCAAAAATTAAACTCATAAACTGAAATATATACTATCAAACAAATCAAATGAAATCAGGCTACATCGCTAAAGTACACTGTCTTCTTGAGCATTCAAATTTCAAAAGACTAGCTAAAAAGCCTCCTTGCATTTTTACAGCCGAGAGACCTGGGAATTTTATAGACTATGCTAACTAAATGTGACAGAAAAACTCTTGTTTCTCTATGCTATTTTAGAATTATTACTAGCAAATATCACCTCCCATTCAAAAGTTCAAAATATCAAATATAAGCTTGAACTAACCAGATTTCAATTCAAATATTCATCAAATTTGAGGGGTTAAGTATCACCTCCCATTAGGTACAGGGTGCCAAACCCATATCTTCTAAAACTATATAAGCTTTAACTAACCAGAATTAATCCACCATTTTAATATGAATTCCCTAAATGCCAGAAACAACCCAAAGCATCTGCATTTTTCTAATTTTCTTTGATATATCTAAAAAGCCGAGTCAATGAATCCAAATTCAAATTAGTAGCATTCTTGACTTGAATAAGAAAGAAATTCAAATTATATATCTAAAAAACTCACATTTTTCTTTCAACAGTTGTTGACTTTTTAGTTTTCTAGACTCCAATTATCTTAGCAAAAATGCCAAATTCAAATAAGAAAGAAATATACCAATTTAAGCTTCAAATCAAAATTGAAAAACAGGGGATGCCTCAATCTCATATTCTGAAGTTGCTCTCGGCTCCAATGGAGTGGTAACCGGTGCAAATGGTGGTTCGGTTCTTTGAAAAATCATAGTATTGCAAAAAAAAAAAAAGAGTTAATTAAAAATCATTGAAGATTTGAAATGGCTAAATGAGATATAAAAAATTAAAAAGTTAAAAACTAAAATATAAACAGGAACCAACTCACTTAGTTACCTGAAAAATCACAGTGTTTGTCGACAACCACAATAATAGTCACTTTGGTAGCCGCAACGAAGATAGCCGCCGGAGTCATTCCTAAGAGTGAAACCTTTTGGTTTCATAGTGTTTGCCGAAAGCGCAGTGAAGCTTTAGTCACCAGATGTCATTGCAACTTTGGTCGCCAACGAGTGATTGCTTGAATTCTAGGAAGGGTGGCGCCGGTGTAATGCCACCGCCGTCTTAGGTGAACGCCTATCGTTGCTGCAACTTCAGTCTTCAGAGTTCAAAGTTTGGTTTTGGGTTTGGGCGTTTGGCAAAACAAAATGTCAAAACCCTAACTCCCTAAGACTTTCGAGTTTCGAAGGATATGTTAGGTATTTTATTTTTATTTTAAAATTAAAAAAAAAACAAAATTTATAAAATATTAAGCCACCGTTGGCCAGGTCGAACGGATCGATGGTTTGACCAACCAGGTCAACGTTTTTTTTTTACTTTTTCAATGTTTTTCCACAAGATGACGGTTCGAGGTAAACCCGAAACCGTTCGAGTGATCGGTTTCCGGTCTGAACGGTCTGACCGTTTGGGTCAACGGCGGTAGTTGCCATGGAGGGCTTAACAACTAGAAGAGTTGTGTTTATGACGGGTAGAGGAAGGTTTAGGTTCTGCATAACGAGGATGCCTAGCAAGGTCAGGGGAGCGGTGAACTACCCAATAGTAACAGAGGGGACCTCACTATGCATTGTGGGCTGGTCCTACCCCCCTGTGACCGCACCATCAATACGTGCATTGTTGTTGTCATTATTGACGGGGTTGTTGCTTAAAGATGCCATTAAGTTTGGGATTTTAGAAGACAGATGAGAAATTGGCTTTTGTGTAATGTGTTCCCCCAAATGGTGCCAATTGATGTAATGCGATCTGATGCTCCCTGTTAGCGAACAACTCAGACGCCAAACTGAGTAGGTTGCCTAGTTGAGTTATAAGAGAGTGGTAATTAGAGTGTTCGCGTTGTTTTACTCAGGGTGGGCACTCCGATGCTTAAGTTAGCGAACTGGTATTTGATTACAAGAAAACAATAGAGCTAGTATGCTTGGGAGCTAAATCACACGTACATCTTCTGTGAAATGGGATGCCTTTATATAAGCAAGGTGTTGTGACGTGTGCGAGATCACCGGCCTATCTGATTCAGAGGTAGTTTCATGCCCCAAGGCGGACTCCATGTAAGTTGGTAACGCTTATCCGGTCGCGTCCAAAGCGGGTAAGGGTAGGGATCTTCTCCGTTGTCGTGGCGTCGTGATCCCAGGGAGTCGGAGATGATAACCCACTTTAAGAGGAGGTCGCTCGGCACACCGAACAGGTCGCTAATCGAATTCAGGATTAGGTCAATGGAAGCAGGTTGCCTCTTACGCTGACCTAGTATCTTTCTGTGCCGTTCGTAACTCGGCCTACCGAGGTCGTCAAGGTGGGTGTGAGGTGTTTGAAGCACTCCTGAGGTTTGCTTACATGGTGTTGAGATGTCATTTGGTTGTTATGAGATGCCACTTGTCATCACGTCACTAGAGGGCCAAATCGCCCCTCATCAATATCCATACTGCTACCCTAGGTTAAGCTGTAGTCATGATGAATTTTCTGTCCATTGCTTTTTAGGACTTCGCTATTAGTTTGGAGTCCAACCAACTCCCCCTCGATTTGGGTCCCCAATTTTGCCTTCCCCCGATGTCCTCCCTTCCTCCCAAACACTTCCTTTGTTAGTTCCACTGCTATTGTTGGTCGGAAACATGCCGAAAACAGAATAGATGTTCCCAATGTGTAGGTGAAACATACTATGTGCGTTGGTGTGACTTGTGAGTAGCGTGTTATGAGAAACAAATCTTGACTTCATTCAAACTTGTACATTTTTATTCATGGGATATATCCCAAGTATACGCATGGTTGCAAGGGTTGTGAAGTCTGCATCCCAATCGTGCCCCATGGCACATCCGAATTGTATATTAAGTTTCCGATACGAAGAGCAAATGCGAATTACAATTATGTGTGGTTAACATGAAACAAATATAATGTATGTGTTTGGTTCTGCGAGCATTTATAGCTGAGGTGTTTCTCATAAACATTTAATTGAAAAATGTTATTTTTAAACGTTTTATTGTTTTTGTTGTTTGATTTGATGTTTCATGGGCATTTCAAAGCTATCTTCCACCTCAGTTAATGTTTATTATTTTTGTTTGATTGGGTGTTCATGGTCATTTCAAGCAACACCCTCATAAAAGCTATCTTCCATCTCAACTTACAATGCTTTAGGTAATCATTTCATTTCAATAAATTTTGGGGCCTTAAGGATTGGGTCATTCCGACACGGGATATGCTACGAAATGTATCCTTCTAATCGTGTATTGGTCTGATACGCCACTGTATTGGTGTGTATCGTGCAATATCGACCGATACAGTCCGATAATACGGAAGCATATCAAACCTCCTTTTGACAACTTCAATATAAAAAAAAAACTTAAAGCTAGCGGGACTCGAACCCAAGACCACTTTTCGCCTAACGCCAATTAACAAACCATCCTTAGCTACTAAAACAACATTTCTTTCATGTTAATAACTAGAATAAATTAACTTTTATCACTGTATCGGTGTGTATTGTGCAATATTGGCCGATACAGTCTGATACACATCGATACGAAAGCACTTCAATATAAAAAAAAACTTAAAGCTGGCGGGACTCAAACCAAGACCACTTTTCGCCTAACGCCAATTAACAAACCATCCTTAGCCACTAAAACAACATTTCTTTCATGTTAATAACTGAAATAAATTAACTTTTATCACTTAATATTCACATAAAATCTCAACAACCAACATGTATCTTCAATAACTCCAATTACAAATTAAAAAGAATAATATTTAAAATTAATATTTTATAAACCAATAGAATAAATAATCTACCAAATCCACATTTATATCAAAAAGTTGATTTTTAATTTAAAGAAATTTTAAAATATTAATAATAGAATAATTATTTTAATACTTAAAAATTTACTAATTTGCACATGATATATATTGGTATTGCTTCCGTTTATTAAATAAATGTTTGTACTTGATTTGTTTTTCGAGAAAAGTACTTGATAAACCATTTATTGACAACTAGGCACCATTAGGCAACATCACATCAGCCGGACAGTGAATAAATGCTCAACCATCAGGAGAGGCATTAAAATGAAACTACCCCCAACAGTTGATGCATACACAAATCAAAACTCACTTTTATAAATATACACAAATTAAAACTCACTTTTATGAATATCAATAAATACCGATGAACATGATAAAAAAATGCTGATTTTTTTATCTCGAAACGTCCACAAAACAGTACACACGCTCAATAAACGCCATAAAAAAACATAACCAATGTTGGCTCTTATGAAGCATATCCGAATCCAACCCGAACGGGCGAACCAGAAATTAAGATCCAGAATCCGGATAGCTGGGGCAGAGTTGATGGACAATTGGGAGTCGAGTATTCGTAAATCGTAATTCGTCCGCTTTCACAGACTCACTGCGGCTGGCGGCTGGCTAAAACCCTAAACCCCGAAACTGCACTGGCGGTTTTCTAAAAGTAAAGCACAAAGCTCTGCTGTCAGCGTTACCCGCTCCTCCTCGGTTTTCTTCTCACTGCCGAGCTCGCTCCGCCCTAATACGTCTTTTGTATATTTTTTCACTCTCTGCAATTTTTCTGTCGACTTTCATGGCGTCTGTGAGCTTGAAGAAGAACTATCGCTGCGTTCCTTCTTTACAGCAGTTCTACACGGGAGGACCTTTCGCCGTCTCCTCGGATGGGTCTTTTCTTGTCTGCGCCTGCGACGATAAGATAAAGATCGTTGACTCGTCCAATGCTTCAATTAAGTCGATAATTGAAGGAGATACGGAGTTGGTTACAGCCCTGACTCTGAGTCCCGATGATAAGCTCCTTTTCTCTACCAGTCATAGCAGACAAATTAGGGTTTGGGATCTCTCCACTTCCAAATGCTTGCGTTCTTGGAAGGTAAACTGGTTAATGTTAAATATTTGAAATATTTGTTGCTATAAGAAATTAAGTATTTGAAATGCTTGTTTTTTTGCTCTCAATGTTTTTTTCTTTGAAAAGTTTAGTAAAGGAAATATTTTTGTTTGAGTAGGGGCATGAAGGTCCCGTGATGCGTATGGCTTGTGATGCGTCTGGTGGATTGCTCGCTACAGCCGGAGCAGATAGGAAAGTACTTGTATGGGATGTTGATGGGGGATTCTGTACTCATTACTTCAAGGGCCATAAGGGGGTTGTGACCAGTATCATGTTCCACCCTGATCCCAATCACCTACTTGTAAGTCGAAGTTCTACTGAATATCACAAATTTCTGAAGAATCACAACCACTTTGCTCAACTCAATATCATAAACTTGTGAAGAAAATGTGGAAATGGAGAAACTCCACATATTTAATAAATTATGTGAAATATCAATAAGAAATCATGTTAATATTCATCATATCATATAAAAAAAGCAAATATATGAGATGGCACATGGATTAGTAAAGACAGGAAATTAAGTGAGCAAGAAGAAACAATATATTTGCATAAGAATAACATATTAAATCTTCAGCCATCACTTAAAAACGACAAGCATTTCTTTGAAAGATAAGTTGAGATGCAGGAAATGCATCAACTAAGATTTATTGTTTTTACTTGTTGTAAAGTCGATTATGTTTTGAACAGTAGGTGAAGTTGTTACTTACATAGTGTACTTCCCTTGGAGGTGACTAGCATCAGCTAACCCCCTCTCAAATTATAATTATAGCTCCCTTTGAGGTACTTGATCCCAGTATATTTAATACTCAATTCCCCTTGCTTTTCTAACGCATTGACACAGCGAGTTACCCACTTCACGTTTGTGAATTTATATGCCAAGAAAAAGTCACAGAGAAGCCATGGATCTAATAAGATACTCACTTCACATTTGAGATGGTTAATTTTGGATTGCTAGTTGTTCCTTACATTTTTTTATTGGAAAAAGGTAACTTCCATTACTGAAATAGATAAAAGAGTACAAATGCCAACCACTCACTACATAGTAGTCCCTTGCTTTGCCAAAGTATCAGCTAAACCAGTAACCGATCTCCTGATCTACTTGAGGAGTACCCCGACCTCCCTTGCATGGCTGAATATTTCCCTCATTTGCTGTCTATAACTTCAAACCCTCAACCTTTCTTTCTACAACCATCATAATAATAATCCTAATAATAACTTTGAGTCCCCTTCCACCTCCAGATTATGAAAGCCCCATTGCTTAGCCAGCCTCAAGCCTTGAAGTAAGGCCAAAACCCTCGGCTCTTGGTGAATCTCACACCCCTATTGGTCCTGAATACAACACTACCAGTCTACCCTCCATATCTCTGAATACTCCCCCAACTCCAACTCCAGAGGGGCCTGGATTACCCAAGGAACTTCAATCAAAATTCAACTTTACCCATTGTTGTGTAGGGGGGGATCCATTGATCCTGAACCGCATTCTTAAAAGATGATGAGTTCGCCACTACTGACCAGCCTCTGAAAATGTCATTGATTGAGTAGTCTTTGAATAACTTAATCGATTTCAGCCAATATATGATATTATGATCTTAATAGTTATGGAGTCAATGACTCGTTGAGTTGTTCCTTGGAACTTTGTGAAGACTGTTGGAACAGACCAACAAAAGGCATTTAGTCAGTTTTACAAGAGGAGGGGCCACATCAGCTCAACTAACCGGCCACTTGTAATAACTGCCATCCACTTGTAACAATTGCCATCCAATTGGATTGTCAAGACTGTTGGAACAGACCAACAGAAGGCAGTTAGTCAGTTTTACAAGAGGAGGCCACATCAACTCAACTAACCGGCCACTTGTAACAATTGCCATCCACTTGTAACAGCTGTAACATTGTAACACTATAAGTAGTAGAGCAGAAAAGGATAGAGGAGGACTCTTTCAACATTAAACTCTCTCTCTCTCTCTTTCTCCTTCCAAGAATTCAGGAGGTTGGCCCCTTGAAGAGCCCTGAGTTAGGCAGGTTCCTAACAATTTGGTATCAGAGCCGGCATGACCAACACAATAAACACATCAGTAGACACTTGAGTGGATCAGATGGAAGTCGAGATCCATCGAATGTCTTCAGATCTCAAAGAAATGAAGGAAAGTTTCACTGCTCTCCTCCTTTGACTAGAGCAGGGGGCAACGAACATTGACAGAGGAAGCCAAGAAGAGCGCAACAATGCAAACAGCCGCAGAATAGGGGCGGCAACAAGAATAGCCAAAATCGATTCCCCCATCTTCTCAGGCGGCGACCTAACTCCCTGGGTTCTCAGAGCAGAAAGGTATTTCGATTACCATGAAACACCGGGGCAAGATAGGGTAGCTCTGGCTTCTGCGCATCTTGAAGGGGAAGCCATCCTCTGGTTTCAATGGTACCGGAGAGGGCACTAGACTTCACCGACGCCATGACTGTCCGTTTTGGGTCATCTGGGTTCGAAGATCTTGATGAGAATTTGGCAAAGCTGCGGTAGGTAGGATCAGTAAAGGAATGCCAGATGGAGTTCGAAAGGTTGGCCGTGAGAGTCCAAGGGTGGACGGAGAAGGYGTTGGTGGGAAGCTTCGTCGGCGGCCTAAAAGAAGAACTGCGACTGGAAGTGAAGGCGATGCAGCCCACTTCGGTTGTCAATGCGGCAACACTAGCAAGGTTGTATGAGGACAAGTTCAGTCGAGCAAGAAAGGTGCAGCGACCATGGGGTCCAGGAGCAAGAAGGGAGCAAGAAAAGACGATAGCACCAAATAAGGAGGAAGGAGTATTGGGCCTAGGCCCACTGGTTCCTTTCAAACGGCTGACTTGGGCAAAAATGCAAGCCTGTAGAGACAAAGGTCTTTGTTACAACTGCGAAGAGAAATTTGGGCCGGGCCATCGCTGCAAGAAACAACAAGCGTTTCTCCTCCAAACAAATGCCGAAGAGGAAGACGACATCCCTGGGTGCCGAGAATCTAACCCAGGGTGGGAAATACAATCCAATGGCACACATGAAATATCCTTACAAGCCCTTACGGGACTTGCGTCCCCTCAAACAATGAGAGTTGCAGGGCTGATTCTAGGGCGCCAAGTGTCAATTCTCATAGACAGTGGCAGTTCCCTTAACTTCATAACTCAAGTCTTGGTGGATAAAATGGGACTTCCAGTGCAACCAACAACGACCTTTACGGTTCATGGGGCCAACGGTAACAGGCTATCTTGCAATAGCATTTGCATGGGCCTACCACTAAAGATTCAGGGTCATCAGTTTGCGGTGGACCTATATCCTCTCCATCTCAGTGGAGCAGACGTGGTGCTAGGCATTCAATGGTTAAGGCAGCTAGGACCCGTGGTCTGTGACTGGRCYYRTCTCACCATGGACTTCACATCAGGAAACTCTACAGTCCATCTACAAGGGCAGAYATGCAAGGGCCCAAGGCCCATTAGTCTTGCAACACTGACAAAGCAAAGAGGAGACCCAAATCAGCCCATATTCATGCACATAGATTCAAATTGGACCAGGCCATCCTTAGCTAACAGCAACCCAGATGGGCCTAGAGACTTCCAAAGCTGCCTACAACAACTTCTTTAGCACTATGGCCACGTGTTTAAAGAACCCCAAGGACTGCCACCACACTGGGAGCATGACCACCGCATCCCCCTCATGCCGGGATCAGCCCCGCCCAATGTAAGGCCCTGCCGATACCCTTACTTTAAAAAATCCGAAATCGAGAAGCAAGTTCAAGATATGCTTAAGCAAGGGATAATACAGCCCAGTCATAGCCCATTCTCTTCCCCGGTACTATTAGTCAAGAAAAAAGATGGGACGTGGCGGTTCTGTATTGATTACAGAGCCCTTAACAACATCACCATTATAGACCGATTTCCGATACCAGTCATTGATGAGCTGCTTGATGAACTCAGTCAAGCATTGATGAGCTGCTTTCGGGACACATGATGGCCACTATGAGTTCCGGGTCATGCCATTTGGGCTGACCAATGCTCCAACCACATTTCAAGCATTGATGAATGACGTATTCCGACCATATTTACGTAAGTTCATTCTTGTTTTCTTTGATGACATATTGGTCTATAGCCCCACTTGGGAGGAACATCTGAACCATCTACAGGTCACCCTTGCAACACTTGAGGCCCACCAGTTGTTTGCTAAAGAGTCCAAGTGCTCCTTTGGACAAAACCAAGTTCACTACTAAGGACATGTTGTAGAAAAGGGGACTGTAGCGGCTGACCCAGATAAAATCTCCAGTATACTGGGCTGGCCGCAACCCAAATGTGTGAAAGAATTGAGGGCCTTCTTGGGCCTGTCCGGGTACTATCGCCGCTTCATCAAAGACTACGGCCTAATAGCTACCCCATTGACCCAATTGCTGAAACAAGACGCTTTTAACTGGTCAACCCAGGCCCAACAAGCKTTTGAGCAATTGAAACAGGCAGTTGCGAGCCCTCCAACATTAGCACTGCCCGATTTCACAAAAGAATTCATCATTGAGTGTGATGCCTCCGGTCAAGGCGTTGGGGCTGTTCTCATGCAAGAAGGGCGACCACTTGCCTTTTTCAGCAAGGCCTTAACATCACAAAAGTGGGCCAAATCAGTTTATGAGCAAGAATTAATAGCAATAGTCTTAGCAGTCCAACGTTGGCGATCCTACTTGATTGGTAGACGGTTCACAATTCGGACCGACCATCAAAGTCTAAAGTTCTTATTGGATCAATCAGTTCGATCCCCGGAACAGCAACGCTGGATATCCAAGCTACTGGGGTACGACTACAGAATTGAATACAAAGCAGGGGCTGCTAACCGAGTGGCGGACGCCCTCTCACGACACCCACAGTCATTTCAATTACTAGTATTTCCCCAACTTCTCCACTCCTGGATCTACTGTGAAAAGAAGCCCAGTCCCATAAGGTGTTACAGCAGTTGAAGGCCCAAGTATTGGCTAATCCCTCACTGCACCCCGAGTACACAATTAAGAATGATCTACTCTTCTTCAAGGGACGCCTGGAAATCCCGGCAGCCTCTGCTCATCTCAGGAAGCTCCTGGAATTATTCCATGCCTCACCCACAGGTGGCCACTCCGGCATCCTACGAACACAAAAGCACATCGCCACACAATTTCATTGGAAG